CCCCATACTGGAGATTAAACCTGGGCCTTGTGCGTGCTAGGCAAGTGCTTTACCACTGAGCGACAGCCCCAGCCAGGCTTTAAAAGTTTTCTTTTCAGGCAAGGTCTTGCTAAGTTATCCAGGCTGGCTTTGGACTCATGTTCCTCCTGCCTCAGCCTTCCGAGTAGCTGGGATTACAATCCTGTGCCGCTGCAACTGGCTACTGAAAAGTATTTTTCTGGTAAATCTGAGGTCTACTTTTTTTACAGGCAGTGTCTACTTTTTAATTTTTCCCCCAGAGGTATATAGAACATAGCTTCCTGTTTCTTTGCGCTTTGCACTTTAGTTGGAAACTTGAAGTTTTAGGTAACACAGCAGGCTCCCCTTCCCCGGTTTTGCTGTCTGCAGTGTCAGTGACCTGTGGCCCACCACGGTCTGGAAGTATCAGACGGAACACTCAGAAGTAATCCTAAACTTGAACTTGCACAGTGTGTGGAGGAGGGTGGTGAAGTCCTGGTCTGCCCCGCTCCAGGCGCGTCAGTTTTCCCTTTGCGGGCTGCGCACTGCCAGCCCATTACAGGTCACTGCCAGGGCACCACAGCACCGTTCCCGTGAGCGTCCCCTAATCACAGCCTGAGCACAGGCACAAGGAGGCTGGGGAGCTGGGCCCGGCCAGGAGCAGCTGTGAAGTGCTTTCTTCACTCGGAAGGGTGAGTTCTAAGTAAGGAGAGAAACTGCGGAGGGCGCTCTATCTGTGATGAGGATGGAGCCGTCTGTGCAACGGCGAGGCAGGGAGAAGTCATGACCGTGTGGGGAGGGCTTAGAACAGAAGTGAGCAGTAGGGCTGCTGCCTGCAGGGGCAGGGCCTGCTGGGGTCCCTGGTCTGCACCCCCAGGGAGAAAACTGTGGCATAATCCTCGGTACTAATCCAGCCCTGTATTAGTCAGCTTTTTATTCCTGGGCCGCGGCTCCTGATGTCCAAGGCTGGGAGATGTGGACCTTGGCTCACAGCTTCACAGGTTCAGTCCACGGTTGCCAGTTCCAAGGTAGGAATGTCACAGGGAAGGGGACGGCGGTGCAAAGGTGCTGAGTTCATGGCTGCTGGAAGAGCCAGAAGGGACGAGACCAGGTGCCGCCTTCACGACCCCACAGGCACATGCGGAAGTGCGTGTTACCGCCACCTAGATGGCTCCCAAGCCAGTCAAGTTGACAATCCAGACGTACCACCAGTCACCTTGCTTTCTTCTCGTCTGTTTAGGGACTGCCTTACTGCACTGAGTCCTTAAATCCTTCCTCTCCCCCAGTGTCCAGCCGCTGACTCCCCAGGGAGGGGCAGCTTTGGGTGTGACCCCAGCCAGCCAACTGCTGGGCAGAGCCTGCTTGTCTCCTGTCACATCCAGGTGTCCAAGTACTGACCACCGGCTCTTGGCCCTGCTGTTCTCAGTGATGAGCGCTGTGGAAGAGTCCTGAGGTCACAGAGCCCTGGAGCCCCAAGGGCAGTGCCTCAGGACGACTCCTACTGTCTTCTGGAGAGCCGCGGGGCTGAACTCCCTGCTGCGGTGGGGAGGATGAGCTCCCGGTTCCATGGCCAGGATTCTGGAGCAGAGGTGGGGACATTAGCAGGCTCTGGCTGCAGGCCACGGTGAGGAATGGAGGACCGGGGCTGCAGCTGGGTCCTGTTAGCTGCCCCTCCTGCCTGGGCCCAGGCTGTGTCCCCACAGTGGGAGGCCCCCTCTGAGAAAGCCCTGTGCGCATGCCCAGCGGGGCAGGAGGGCATCTCCAGGCTGCTGGCTACTTTAAAATTCTTCCTCTGATCATTGGTTTTTAGTGTGGTTTTCTTCTTTCTGCTTTAGTTTCTATCACATTTGTAAGTCTGGGGGCTGGGGATGTGGCTCAACAGCAGAGCACCTGCCTAGCAGGTGGGGAGCCTTGGGTTTGCTCCCTAGCACTGAAACAAAGCAAAAAGTAAACGAATCCCAAGTAATTTTGGCTATCATTTCTTAAAGTTTCTGTCCTCACCTTTTTTCTTAATTTTTTGTCTTTTTGAGACAGGGTCTCGCTGTGCACTTCAGGCCAGCCATGAGCTCACTTTGTAGTTCAGGCTGGTCTCGAACTCACAAGGATCCTCCTGCTTCAGCCTCCTGTAGGCATGGTGCAGGCATGTACCATGCCCGGCTGTCCTCACCTTCTTATAGGACTCCATAGTTTCATAAACACTAGACTTTTTAATGTTTTTTCTCTCAGCCACCCATTTTTAAATGTTCATAGACATGCCATCAAACTCGCTGGTGATGCCTTGTGAAGTTTCTAATCTGCCATGTATTCTACCCAGTGCACTTCTCCTCTGTCTCCGCCCCTCCTGTCTGTGTGCCTCCACAGGTTTGCAGGCGACAGAAGCTGTCTCCAGGCCTCTTCCCAGCAGCGTGGCCTCACCTGGCACTCCGCGGCTGTCTCTGGGTCATGGTTTATATCCTCCTGGCACTGCGTAGCCTGGGGACTGGACACCCACACGTCACTCTCCCTGGCTGAGGCAGGAGGGTTCGTGTTCCCATGGAGCACCCAGGCTTCAGGCAGCAGGTGGGTGATGTGAGCCCACCTGTCTCTGGGGCTGACCGGCTCCGACCCGCCTCCCCCTTGGGGGACACCCTTCAAGGCAGCGAGTGTCTCCCGCTCGCACACTGGCCTCTACAGGAGCAGGGATTAGCATGCCTCCTTGGCGTCTGCTGAGCCACAGCTGGTGTGGGAGAGGGCTCAGCCTCAGGCCGAGGGGCCCTGGTCACCATGGGTCTCGGTGCTGGAGGGCTCCTGCTGGCTGGGGATGGGGCAGAGCGCTCAGCACCGGGCTCGCTCCCCGCTCTTTGCCCTCTCCCCGTCGCTGGTGTGGCCACCACAGAGACCCTGCACAGGCCAGCTCCTGACACTCTGTGTGCCGCAGAGCTGTGTGCTTAGAATTGGCACAGTTCACATGTGTATACACTTTTGCTTTTCTCTTGAAAAAATATATAGCTAAGTTGAGTGTGACAGCGCACAACTCTAATTCCAGCACTTCAGGAGGTTGAGGCAGGAGGATGGTGAGTTCTAGCCTAGCCTGGGCAACCTGGCACATCAGTGAGAACCTATCTAAAAAACGTGTATTTCTGTATCTACCTATGAAATCTATACATGACAAAGCATTAATCCTCTTGCTTTTCTCATACCATGAACTTCATCTCATTTTGTTTCTGAGATGGTGTCTTGCTGTGTTGTTCAGGCTGGTCTCAAACTCCTGAGCCCAAGAGATCCATCCTGCCTCAGCCTCCACAGTAGCAGGAATTACCACTCTCACGACAGCTGGGACTTTTTAATGACATGCACACATGTACGAAGTTCAATAAAAGATTTTCCACCGGAAGTTACTTGTCCAGCAGTGGACTGCTCTGTGCCTGGCAGTGCTGTGTGGAGGGGAACCGCCAGGAAAGGCTCCCTGGGGGCTGCCCTGTCTGCAGCGGCAGCCCCAGGCCCAGGCCGGAGTTCTCACAGGACAGTGGCACGGGGACGCCACCCTCCACGCCAGGAAGGGTATCCTCCGGAGTCCTATTACCTCCCTTCTCAGCTGGGCTTGAACCTGCAGTCCCACCTCAGCCTCCCGAAGTGCTGGGATTACAGGTGTGTGCCACCATGGCTGGCTCACCCCTTTCTCTTTGTGCCCCCCTGAGGAAAGAGCCGGACACGCTCCCCAGGACCCGGAAGTCCTAGGGCCGAAGGAAGCGGCCCAGGAACAGGGTGTGCGGGGGGGCAGCCAAGGCTGGCGGCACAGGTGGAGACCTAAGTGGCTGCCGCAGGCACGCTGGCAAATGCTCGGGGCTGGGGCACCCCCATCCATACCCCTGGTCCCAGCAGTCCTTGCCGCTGTCACTGCTGGACAGATGGGAAGGCCTGGCCCCAGGCCTGGCTCCGGGACCACCCCAGGGAGACCCTGGGGCACTGCTGCAGCCACTGCGGTCCACAGGCCTGCACCGCTGCTGCCAAGGTGGAGCGCAGTCCCAACTGCCCACGGCTGAAGGGTCTGAGGGACCAAGGGACTGTGCACCTTCTCCCACCTAGAGAAACGAAACCAAAGCAAGGTGGACTCCTGCCCCACACCTCAACTCATGGCCCTGCTGGCCCTCAGCGCCAAAGCAGTAGCCTCCCTGGGCAGCTGCTCCAGCCCTGGGGTCTGACGCTCTGGCACGGGGTATTGGGAGTGGGGAGCAGCCGGCAGCTCCGTGCCCACTCCTCGGCCCGCAGGGTTCCAGTGCTCCTGTGGACCGGTGCTGCTTCCCAGCCCTCTGCAGAGGACGCCTGCTGCAAGGCCCCAGGGTGCTGTCCGTGCTCTCCTGGCCACGCCCCAGCCCCCAGCTTCTTGGCACATCCACACGGAGCCCCGCACGCAGCTGGCTTGTTGGGTCTCCGGCCCACCCAGCCCACGGAAGACCCTGAGGCCACCAGGAGCCTGGAGCGGGTAGCTGGGGCCACCAGGAAGCCTCTCCAGGGCCAGGGGCCCTGACCTCAAAGTCAAGAGGACACATCACCCCCCAACCCCGGCGCTCCCAGCAGAAAGCAACTAGACGGGGTCTCCTGCTGTACTAATGTATTCCATCTTTCAAAAAGAAAGACATGATTTTAATATTACTTAACAATATGTTAAAAAAGTAGCCAGGCAGGCCTCCGTGTTAATACGGTCGTACGCTCTAAACGGACTTGATGGTGTGAGTGCTGGGTGGGTGTTGTCATCAACGTTCTCATTCTCAAGGGGTCTTACACAGGCTGGCTACGAGTCGGGGCAAACACAAACAGCGCAACGTGTACACTCGGAAACAGTAGATCGTGGAAAACGGAGGAGGCCCGACAGCCCGGCCGCCTCGGGTGGCACACGGCACACGGGAGCTGAGGACAGCCACACGTGGCGGGACAGATGACAGGACGGGGAGAGATGCAGAGGCAACGGGCCACGTGGGTGATGCACACTCGTCTCTGGCCGCAGCTCAGGCCTCTGAGGCCACAGCGGTGGGAAGAGGTGAGCACTACTGTTCCGATCTGACAGCACGGAGCTACAATCAGGGGAGTCTCACTCACAGACTACACGCACACGAGCTAACAACGCGGGCCGGCAGCGCGCGCCAGGCTGGGCTCAGGCTGCGGCGTCCGCCCTGCTTGGCCCCGGGCGGGCACCACGGCTCGGGGGCCTGGAAGGGCTTGGCTCTCGGGTGATGGCCACTCCTGTGTGTCCCTCTCCTGCTGGCCCTGTTCAGTGGGCAGCAAAGGTGGCTTTCTTCAAACTGAAATTGGACCAGTTGATGGACAGTCTTTGCCGGGTCTGTCGAGCAGAGTCCAAGCAGAACCTGCGAAGACAAAACGAGTGACAGTCACTGGCGGAGATGGGCACAGCAGGCAGGGGCTGGCTAGGCTGACTTCCTTCTTGTTAGAAACTCCTTGAGGGCTCAGCAGTGGCCACCTAGAGGGGTGGCCAGGTCCGGTGTAGGAGGCCACTGGGAGGCCTGTGCCTTCCGTGGTCATTTCCCTCCTCTTGGAGAGCTGAGCTTCCAGCCTGGCCTGCATTAACTTAGGTGTGAACCCACAGCAGGGCATCCAAGTGGGGCGGTGACAGCGAGACAGGGTCCCAGCTCCCACCCTCCCCTCTGGGGCGCGGCCTCCAGGATCACCAACACAGCCTGCCGCACAGCTCCAGACACACACGCATTTGTCCTGTTTCCCAGGCAAAGACGGCCAATCTTTGTACAAAGGAAAGAACGCTTTCTTTTGTTTAAAAGCGCTTACATATGGGCTAGGCATGGTGGTGCAGGCCTGTAATCCCAGTACTCGGGAGGCTGGGGCAGAAGGATTATTCCAAGTTCGAGACTAGCCTGGGCTACAAGGTGAGATCAAGGCCAGCCTGAACGGCATAGTGAGACCGTCTCAAAAAGACAAAAAAAAAAAAAAAAAAGCAAGCACTTGCACGTTTCTGAAGTTCTCATCATCCCAACTCTAATTTGGGGCAGAAATCACAATGAAAGCTGGAAACGGTTGGCTGATTTCACTCGTTTAATACATGAACCCACACTGTCTTAAACAAGGTTCAGTCATCCAGCCACAACCTTGTGCCAACTCTGCCTGCCCAGTGGCCTCTGCCAGGAGTCCCAGTCCCTTCCCTGGCCCCAGCTGGCCATGCCAAGTCTGTGCTCAACCTTCTCCACCTCCTCACAGTTTCTACCTCTGCTGCGCCCCTGAACTGGCAGGCATCTCAGGACTGCCCGCGTTCGTGTGGGGCCATCCCCACTCCCTTCCGTGTCACCTGGCAGACCCGCTGCTCAGAAACATCAGCCACATCCCTGCTCGGGGCTGTTCAACAAGGATTCCCCAAGAGCCACATGTGGTGGTGCACGCTTGTAATCCTAGCACTTAGGAGACTGAGGTGAGAGGACTGTGAGTTCGAGGCCAGCCTGGGCTACACAGCAAGTACAGCAAGAGCCTGTCTCAGAAAACGAAAAAATAAATGAATGTCCAGTTTAACACACAGCATGGCTTCCAACAAATTCTCAAGCACTGGCATGAAACCAGAACCAGGGAGACCTGATCTTCTGACATCTGTGTCCCCACACTGTCAGCTGTGGGGTGTGTCACACGTGCACTAGGCACACAGACTATACACACTCGGGACCCTGGGGTGTACACTCCTGGGATCACCCTGCTGTCCCCTGCAGGGGCCGCCACTGTCCGGCATGCACGCATGACCTCCGCGCACATTCTACACGCAGCCTGTCCAGGTGGCTGCAGTGCAACTGTCCTGCATAAGCATCTCTTTTTGACCTCCTCCCACCGCACGTGTGAGCTTCCTCCCCAGGGGTGTCTGCTCAGCTTAGGGGCTGAAGATGCTGCGGTGCACACGTGGCTCTGGCTGCCTCCTGGGCAGCCCTCAAGTGTGTGCTGAGGAGGGCAGCCGATGCTGTGCGTGGGATGGACGGAGCACAGCAAGCACCTGTGGCTCTACATCCCAGCAGGTGACAGAGCAGCTTGTGGCTTCTCCTAGTCATTTCCTGAGGCCAGGGAGTGAAGCTGAGACGCCCATCCTGTGCCTGGTGGTCACACCTCTCAGAAGGACCCTACTGGTTTCAATTAGCTTTCCTGGTTTTTTTTTTGGATATTGGGAATCAAACTCAAGACCTTGTGCTTGCCAGGCCTAACTGGCTTTCCCACCCTCTTGTGTAACACTCTTTACACTTTTTAGTACTGATCCTTGTCAAGAGCTGCAAATTCACTTTAAGACCAATCCTTGATCGAAAAGTAGTATAATTTATCAGCCTTGACTGATTGATGGACAAGGTCTTGCTGTGTTGCCTAGCTCATCTCAAGTTCTTGGGCTCAAGTGATCTTCCTGCTTCAGCCTCCTGGTAGGTGGGACTAGAGGTGAACACCAAGGCAACTCGCACGTTTTTCCTTTTTTTTCAGTACTGCTAATTAAACCTAGGGCTTTCTACCATGAGCTATACCTTCATAGCTGTCAAAAAATTTTTGAGACAGCATCTTGGTAAACTGCTCAAAGCAGGGCACAGTCGTATACACCTGAGTCCTAGCCTTTGGGAGGCTGAGGCAGGAGGATCACCATGAGTTCAGGACCAGCCTGCACTACACAGTGAGACCCTGTCTCAAAGAAACCAAAAACCCAAAACCAGAACAAAACATCCATCTGGATTTCCTCCTAAATTAAACAGTTTGGGGTTTTTGTTATTATTTCAGGTGGCTGCTGGGGAGAACCCAGGGTCTCATGTATGCTGTGCATGCTCTACAACAGAGAGCCAGCCAGCCAGAGGTGCTTCTGGCATTGAAAACGGCCGCCCATAGGAGCTGCCTCTGGGGTGGTGTGGACTAGGGACAGGACTTCAGCTCATCCCTCAGGGCACTCTCTACCCTTCCTTCTACAAGCATGTGTTTCCACAGCGCTGGCCGATCCACTGTCACAAGCCAAGGCTCAGTATTTTCTCAGGCTGTTTCAGGAGTCTGTATTCTGTACCATCATCAGGGGTCTGTGACTGTACCTCGTTATCAATGTTTAATAGCCAAGACATTCTAAGTCTTTTCCTTTACCTTTCAGTGGTACTGGGGGTTGAACCCAGCGCCTCCACACTCAGCTGCATCCTCCGCTCTTTCATTCATTTATTTTATATACATACGTATTTTGTTTTTTGTAGTACTAGGGGTTGAACCCAAGGCCTCTGCACTGACCTTACATTCCTACTCCTTTTTTTTATTGTTGTTGTTGTTTTCTGGTACCGGGAATCGAACTCACGACGTTGCGCTTGCCAGGCAGGCACTGTGCCACTGAGCTAAATCCCCAGCCCCGTTTTGTTTGTTTTTTGAGATAGGGTCTCACTATGTACTCCAGAATGGCCTTAAACTCACTATGTAACTCAGCCAACCCTGAACCCATGGAAATCCTCTTCCTTTAGCCTCCTGAGTGCTAGGATTCATATCTGAATATATCTGAATATACCCTTTTAAAAAGTGTTTTGAAATAGGGTCCCCCTAAGTCCCTAAATTGCCCAGGACGGGCACTCATTTGCAATCGTCCAGCCTCAGCCTCCCAGAGTGCTGGGATTACGGGTATGCACCACCTCACCCAGTTGGACTTTCTGTCTTTACAATGGCTAGGAAAAGTGGCCTTCTTTGTTCTTTTTACTCTTCCAGGAGGGTACTAGTAAACTAACCTCCCTATTTTCTTCCTGTAAAATGTTACACATGTAGAAGACAAGTAACTGAAGCAAGTACAAAATGTACAAAATGCAAGGTGAGTATGTGTCACAGTCACCCCGGGGGACAGTCCCCAGGGCCTTCTTCAGTGATAACCACCCGCCCGCTCCCAGAAGCAGCGTCTTGGCCTTTCAGAGGTAACTCTCTGCTGTCTTTATAGATGTAGCACATGCACACACGCACTGTGAACAGGATCTCACCTTCTCACAAAGCTAGTTCACTGAGGCCTGACTTGTGCACAACGGACTGCAGAGCTCACAGGCGGGGACAGACCTGTCCACCCTGGCCAGTCACCCTGGCTGAGATGCAGAGCACTGCCGTGGAGCCCCCACTGCCTCCTGCCCTGGCTCTGTGCCAACGCTTAGCTGCCGCCTGTTGTGGTGGACAGATTGTAACTTCTGGAATTTCACACAGGTGGAAGCTCACAGTGTGCATTCTGTCGCCCCTGTCGCCGAAGGAACCGTTCTGGGGGGATGTTTGAGGTGCCGTGCTGGCAGCAGGGTCCCTGCGTGGGGTGTGTAATGGCTCTGCCTCTCCTGATGAAGGTCTGAGTTGCTCCCAGCTTCTGACTATCGCAAGCGAAACGAAGGCAGCATCTGTGCATGCGTCGCTGCCAAGCATGTGCCTCTCCTCTCCTGGGCGGATGGGTGTGTGGACCACGTCCTGCGCTTGCTTGCAGGCTTCTTGCTGCAGGGCGTCCTGCCTTGTGATTTATCCTGCCTACCATGCTTCAGAAACACAACGCTGTGTCCCACAGAGCCATTCTGGGGTACAGGTCTACAGACAGCTGTGGTAAACTCAAATTCTTCTCTTCTCTTCTGTTTTTATACTGAGAATTGAACTCAGGACCTCACACTTGCCAGGCAGGTGTTGTCCCGCTGAGGTATATCCCTGGCCCGTTCAGGTCTTTTAAAATGTTTTGCAGTAAAGTTGCCTAGTCTTTCATGATAGAGCTTATATAACTTTTGTTAGATACATCCAAGGATACTGCAGAAATTTGGTGCTAATATAAATGCTGGCTTTATGTAAACTAGTTTCTTTTTTTTTGTTTTAGGTACGCAGAATTGAACTCAGGACCTTATGCTTGCCAGGCAGGTGCTGGGCCGCTAAGCTATACCTGCCTAAACCACAGCTTCTAATTATAGGTGGTGTGGAGAAAAACGAGTAAGTTCTGTACTGGTCCTACACAGCCAGCCCTTACTGGATACTCGCTCACGTTTACTGCCCAGACGACTGGACCCCCCGTGAAGTGAGTCTTACGCCTCCTGCCCACTTCCTCCACCTTCGCACTCTGCTCCTGTCTGGCTGTGCTGACTGGAAGGTGGCAGAGCATTGGTGCCTTGCTCTGCGCTTCACACCCTGCCTCGGAGACAACAGCTCCGGACACCTAGCTCCTGTCTTTTCTCTTTTTAGTAAATCCCTTTATCAAGTTAGGGTCTCTCCTTATTCTCTCTTTTTTTTTTTTTTGGTACTGGGAATTGAACTCGGGAATTGCCTGTGCTCGCCAGGCAATCCTTGTTCTTCAAGACTGTAGTTCTACTGCCAGTTTACCCATTTCCTTATTACAGTAGGTCCCCAACCTACATTCATGTTGCGAGCTTTCACAAATATGAACAGACCTCCCATGAGGAACCTTTGTAGACGTGAACAAACAGCAGAAGTACTGTTCCACCATTTTAAGGCAACTATACAAGTAGGTTCTTTACTGTGTTTCTGTGTGTTTGGTTTCCTATGCTTCACATTGTATATTTGTGTCAGAGGTGCATAAGACTCACACTGTTGGAATTACGAACAAATCTGACTTACAAACGTTCCTGTTCGGGACTAGAACTTGTTTCTAAGTCAGGAACTTACTGTAATTTCAAGTGGGTGCTAACATTTTCTCAAAAGCTTTTCTGGAATCTTCTGAATTGATTAAATGGCTGTTCCCGAACATATTAACCTACCAAATAACATGGGAGGCCTTCTGACATTAAACACACCTCACTCTGGGCACAGACCAGCCTGGTCATGTACAATGCTTCTGAAAATGCTGGATTTGCTTTCTTTAGAGTTTCCGCACCTAGCATTCATAAGAAGGACAACCCACTAAGTTTTCTTTTTTTCTGGTGTTCTTTTTGGCATATATTGGTACAGAAATTGCACTTTGTCTCACACAGTGAAGTGAGGCGCATCCTCCTGTACAAGTGCTGTCTCTCTCATTTTTTTAAGTTTCCTGGCAATTTGTTCAAGACTGGATAAACTCATTCTTGGACAGTCAGGAAAAAGCCTTTGTGAAACTGTGGAATCAGCTTCCATGGAGAAGGCGTGCACCTATCATTACAATGGCTTTGGCCATTTCTGACCATCCAGCCTTACTATTTTTCCTTGTATTAATTTTGTGCCTGACTACACTTAAATTTTAAAATCAACTACAGTGAAGCTATTTCCTGTGTTCTCTTAATCTCTGTGATACCTGTATTTATTTCTTCCTTACAACTTATATGTGTACAAAATTAAAGAATCTTTTAATATGGAATTTTTCAAACACAAAAGTAGAAACTGTGATTTTTTATTTTGAGAGAGGGTTTCACTAAGTTGCTAAATTGCTCAGGCTGGGTTTGAACTTGCCATCGTCCTGCCTCAGCCTCCCAGAGTGCTGGGATTACAGGTATGTGCCCCTATGCCTGGCACGTCTACTACTTTGGAAGCACTGAGGAGAGGTGGTTCTTGCAGAAGTCTCCTGCTTGTTTTAGGATTAAAAAAAATCCCTACCTGTGTGATTATGGATGTGTGCCACCGCGCCTGGCTAAAATTCCTACCTGTGTGTGGTGGCACATGAGTAACTCCAGAGGCCAAGGCCGGAAGAACACCATGAGTTTGAGGCCAGCCTGGATTATATAGTGAGTTCAAGACCAGCTTGAACTACAACATGGAGACCTGGTCTCAAAAAAAAAAAAGGAAAAGAAAAAAACCCAACACCCTAAGGGAGAAGATTACCGGCAAGGATGTGAGGGAAAGAGTCCCAAGGGTTCATTTAAAGCTCCTAAGTGTCCATGACCCTGAAGTAGAATCCTGGGTACTGATTTTATACTAAACACCCTTGCCCAGATGTTTTACCTGCAGGTGCTTCTGCATTTCACACGCATACACATAACATGAGAAAATAACAACGATTTCCTTTCTTCCCCTTAATCCTTATCCCCCAGTTTTTTTTTTTTTTTTCCCCTTTTCAGGTCATTACAAATAGGAGTAGTGACAATGGTGCTCCTTAACCTCAGAGAACAGCTTCTGTGTGTTCCTGGGACACGTGACATTTCCTACAGGTCTCTGATGGACAGCTTTTCCTTTTCTTGCATGATGTGGCCTTCTGATCCATATTTGTTAAGAGTTTTTATAACAAATAGATGTTTTACCTTAGTGAGTACTTTTCTTCTCCTATTAATCTCCGTATCATATAAATCATATGAATCATACTACAAGAAAGATATAACTTCAAGGAACATTTAAACTTTTCCAGTATTTCAGGAATGAGTTCATGATTTTTTGTCTGTTTTGTGAGACAGGGTCTCACTACGTAGTCCAGGCTGGCCTCAAACTCAAGGCAATCCTCTTGCCTCAGCCTCCAAAGTACTGGAATTACAGGCATGCGCCACCAAGTCTGGCTTTGAGTTCATGTATTTTTAACTTTGCTTCTTCTATGCATATTACTTAAAGCAAAGAAAGTCAAGTACTTCGAAAGGAAAAAACAAGGCAGCTTAAAAGTAAATTTCTATTGCCACAGTTCACATACTGGGTACAATATTATGGAACACAATAAGCCTCTGCCATCAGAAAAGCTGAGGCAGTTTCTACAGGGTTACTCTTCTCTCAAAGGCAGGCCACCTCTGTGTTCAAATGTCACCAGGAAGATGGCCTGGAAGGCTCCTCCAGATCACCCTGCTGGTCCAGCCCCGTAAAAACCATTGACAGCAATGGTTCCTAACACAGTGGGGGCGGCGATGTGAATGGAAGTGAGTGTGTGGAATGCGGCTGAGCAGCCGGCTGGCTTGCGGATGGTACTCACTCAGGACAGAAGGGTTGTGCAAAGAGAAAACCAACCACATGCGGCAACCACTGGCCTGGAGGGACTCACACTCACCTTTTGAAATATTCCACCTCCCTCTCTGTCTCATCCATATCCACACTGTCCAGGTCGATATCTTTAGGCAGAAAGACATCATCTGAAAATAAGAGGCAAAGAAGCACATCAAATACAACGGCAGTTATCTCATCTGAACAGAATCCAGCTTTTGGCTTTAAACAACTTCATTAACTTTTAGAACAATTCTCTGAAACGCACAAGGCCAAGGAGGGCAAGGCTCTTGTGTGCTTGGCTCAGGCTTGCTCAGCACAGCAACTGCTTCAGGTCCTGCCAGCAGCGCCCAGCCTCCTGCAGCCGGTTCCCCTTGAGTGGTCTTGCAGCTGCAGCTGGCCCGCTGGCACTCTGTAGGAGCTGGCCCCAGACCTGAGCTCAGGCTCTGCAGGAGGGTGGGCTGAGAGCGCTGTCCTGTGGCCCTGCCCCTGGCAGGAAGAGACCCAGACACCAATCCTACAGGGATGTACTCTCCTAGGCACTCATCTCAACACTTCATCTGAACACTTGCTGGCCATTCTGAACAAAAAGCATGGTGACATCTGGCTCCACAGTGAAAGAACCCCTTCTGAAAATAGCAGGAGTGTGTGGACTCCACCTCTCAGGGTCCTGGGCAGGTCTGAGTGAACTTTTCTCTCTGGCTCTGCCCTGCAGTATGATCTGCCTAGGCTCAGGCCCAGAGTGCACATCTGGATGGGCAGGTGTGGCACCGGCCCTATCAACACCGAGAGGGCAGAGGCCTCCTGCATGTTTTTGTTACAGGTAAGCTTCTCCCCTGCAGACCTAACAGACAGCCTGCTTCTGCCTGCCCCCGGGCATCCCCACAGAACACAGCGAAGGCCCCTGTGCATGGCTATCAGCAGCTGCCACCACGGTGATTCCCAGGGCAAGGGCCCTTACTCGCCCTTTCACACAAAGCACTTCTGAACTCCTTCCCAAGCGTGCACATGCTGTGCGTCCCACAGCTCCTGACGCTCTTCTCCTTCCTCCCCTGCCCATGCCCCTGTGGGCTGCATCCAACAGCCAGCTGCTGCCCCCTCCCAACCTTCTGAAGGGCCACCTCCCTCAAGCTGCTTCCTCCTGGTCGTCCTCCTTTCAGGCATCAGACCCCAGCAGGGCCAGCACCGTGCTCCGGAGAATCTGTTACAAGCCTGTTCCTTTTCCGCGGGCCAGCACCTTGGCACCCACACCTCCTGCCTGGCCTCGATGCAGCTCCGTCTGCGCAGCCCCCACAGAAGAGTCCTCATGAGATGCTCTTAGACCTGAGGTGCGCCTCCTCGGCTGCCCGAGCTCCACGCCGGCCCGCAGCCTCTCTGCTGCAGTCTCCTACATGGAAGTGGAAGCATCAGCCCACGGAGCCGTGTGCTCACTGCCAGCTGACAGCAGACGGCTGACCTCCCACGGGCATTCAGGATGCTTTCGCCCAAAAGGTGATGTCCGAGGCTGTGAACTCTCAGCGGAAAGCTGACAAAACAACTGCCACTTTTAGCTGTACCAGAGAGTGCAGAAATGACGGAAAGGGAAAACGGGAAGAGAAAGATGGTAGAGCTAAGGAGAAAAGGTACACTGGGCCTGCTGGCTGCTGAGGCTGTGAGAGGGCATGCCGGGAAGCAGGCATGAGAGGGGTACAGAGGGCTGAGGCTTGATTTCCAGGGTAGCAGCGTCAGGAGGTGGGCTGTGGGGAGGGGGGCCGCATTCTGTGTCACAGGGTCAGGAAAGGTCAGCTGCCCTTTGCCAAGAGTGAGTCCTCATTGGCTCACTGGCTCGCGGGGACCGGAACACTCACTGTCCTAGAGCCTGTCCCTCCTTTTCTACTGCCTACAACTTAGCCTGGCCAGATGTGGCTGCCGGATGCTGAACTCCACAACCTCTACAACAATAAGCCAAAACAAACCTCTTTTCCTAATAAATGACTCAATCTCAGGAGTTCTGTGAAAGTGGCAGAAAACAGACCAAGACAAATATGCTAGCACAAAACCACAATTTCAAAGGTGTGGTGGTGTACGCCTGTAATCCCAGCACTTGGGAGACTAAGGCAGGAGAATTGTGAGTTCGACAGAACCACCTTCATGTGGCAGAGGCACAAGAGACACACACGAAACTCAGGACCATGAGTATCAAGTAGCAAGGCAGCCACGAGGACAAAGAGGACCTAAGCAGCGAAACTGACGAACACGACAGGCATGCCTCACCTGCTCATGGCACAGGCCCTAGATGCCCTGGTGTGAGTCTGAAGTGTCACCCAGAGGCCATGCATTTGGTCCCCACCTGATGGGGCTACTGGGAGGTGGTGGCACCTTTAGGAGGTACAGGGGCATGCCATGAAGGGACATTGGGACCCTGGGCCCTTCTCCTCTTTGTGCCTCCTGCCTACCACGAGGTGTCATGATGTGCTGCCTCGTGCCACAGGCTAGCAATGGGGCCCAGGGACATGGATGGAACTCCCACCACTGCGAGCCCAAACCCTTTCCGCTCTGTGAGGCCATTACCTTAGCTATTTTTACAATGGAAAATTAACATGCTGAGTCACAAAGAAAGCAACAGTAAATTTAATGAAGCTAAAATATAAACAACAGTCTGACCACAATGCACACAACCAGAAACGACAACAAAAGGCTCCCTGCCCAGGGCACTCAGAAGTCGCCTACACTAGTGCAGAAGGGGAAACCCATGTGGGAATTACAGAATTTCTTTATGTTTTTTTTTTTTTTCCTTCAGAATTTCTTTGAAAGGAAACAAAAAACTGATGGGAAAATTATCTATAAGACTATGCTATATACTTACAGCAATCATCAGAGAAAAGCTCCAAGTGCTAAAACACTTTTATTAATAAAAATGGGGAAATGAAAACAATTTCTAAGTCAAAAAGTTAAAAAAGAACAAGGAAGAAAGAAGTACATGTAGAAAATGAAGACAAAAGCAGAATTTAGGGAGGTATAGGGAAAGAAGTAAAACTCAATAAAGCCAATTAAAAAATCTAACAACGCAGAAAAATCACTGACTTAGGCAAAATAAGAAGCAAGCATGAATACACAAAATAAAGAAAGACAAGGAAAAATAACCATTGAAAAGAAATTTAAAGTAGAGTCTGTTCTGCAGATATCTATGCACATTTAATTGAAAATTTAGTTGCAAAGGAAAATTTACTGTGGAAAGGTGGTTTTCCAAAACTAACCTCACTATATATAGAAATATTAAACCACTTTCTGGGAGGGAAGAGGAAATGCTGTCAAGAACTACCTCACTAAAGCACCAGGTACTAACAGCTGTAGAGAGTCGATCAAATTCTATCAAATTTCCAAGCCTAGATAGTCCCAACACAGCAGTTGTTCCAGAATATGGAAAATAAAAATTAAACCAAAAAACTTCCTATTTCTTTTCATGAAGCAAGCAAGAAGATCACTGTAAAAATATTACAATGTAAAGAAAGCCAACAGCAAACAGAATCCTAAACCAAAGAATATAATTTATCACAATTAAGTGCGTTTCATTGGAATCCAAGGTTGGTTCAGTGTTGGGTAACTGAGTTAGGTAACTGAGTTAAGTAACTGATATAATGTACCACTATAAACAGGCCTGCGAAGAAAAATCAAAACTATTTTCACAAATGCTAGAAAACCATCGCTAAAATTCAACACCCATTCCTCACAAACACACTCAGGAAATGTTTCCTAAAATAAAGCTTAGCTCTCTGGTCAGCACCTCTCTCAAGGTGAAAACACCAGAGACATTCCTGCTTTACCAGGGCATGAGGAAGTTAAGAAAAAACATTCAGAGGCATGGGAACTGGAAAAGTGCAAGTAAAGCTCTCTCTGCTTGCAGATGTACCATGTACCTGGAAATACCCAGAGACTCAACAGATAGATACAAACAAAAGAAGACAGTACACATAAGAGATGGAGTCAACACACCGAAATCAATACCTTTTCACATCTGCCACAGATAACCAGTTTGGCAGCACCATCCAACAGAAATATCACCCCATTCACATATGCAATTTAACATTTTTTAGTGGCCACACTTAAAAAAATTAAGAATAGATGAAATTAATTTTAGTGATGATGTAATAAGATATATGAACTACTACAGCATGTATTTAATATAAAATTATGTTGAGAGATTTTTTATACTAGGCTTTTAAAATCCAGCGTGTACCCTGTACTTACATCTCGCAGTCTGAACAAGCCACATTAATAGTGCTCAATGGCTATTGAGCCACGGCTAGGTGACCAGAGGCTACAGGGAGAACTGTGGAGTCAGGTGATACAATGGTAGATAATACTCTAAGCTAAAAACAAAGCTGATTACTTAGGAATAAACAGAGTAAGAAATGTGAAAAATCAATGGAAAAAATTTAAAACATTTCTAAAAGCCCCAAAGTAGACTTGAATAAATGGACACATAACCCCTACTCTTAGAAAGGACAATCTGCACCACACAGACATCCATTCTTCCTGTTTACCTTATGAACTTGATGCAGTCCTACTGAGATGCAGACAGGCTCTAGGCACACTGGCACTGAAGCCAACATGGAAAGAAACACTCCAGGCAAGAAAGCTAAGCAAGGAAGCCTGTGAGGCAAGCAGCAGAGACCGGCACACATTTAAGATACGACGAGGGCCTTCACAGTGAACTACCCCGCAACGCCCTTTTCAGATTCTATTACTTTGAGATAGGGTTGCACTAAGGCACTGAGTTGCCCAGGCTGGGCTCCAACTGGTGATTTTCCTGCCTGAGCTTTCCAGACTGCTAGGGTTGCAGGCATGTGCCACCATGTCCGTTTTTTCCCCCCTTCCTTTTGGTACTGGGGCTGAACCCAGGTAGGACGTGCTAAAGTACGTTCTCAATCATTTTAAATTTTTTTAAATTTAAATTTAAATTTTAAATTTTGAGACAAGGTCTCACTATGTAGCTCAGGCTGGCCTCAAATTCACAATCTGCCTGTTTCAGCCTCCCCTAGTGCTGAGATTTATAGGCGTGTGCCACCAGGCTCAGCTAAATTTTGTAACTGGTACTGAGCCAACATTTGGAAAAAGAACTGGATCCATACCTCACTATGTACACAAGAATAAGTTCCCAATGTATCACGGATCTAAATTGGGGGAAGGGAATCACACAAACGCTAGAAGAAATTAGGTACATTCCTCTATAACCCTGGCATTATGATAAAGCTTTCCAACAATTACTCAAACTCTAAGGCAATAAAAGATTGGCAAACTGCATAAAAGAAAAAAAAGTCCACCTGGTTGAAAGACATTGTGAACAAAGTCTGAAGACAACTTATGAACTGGTAGAAGAATGTCTGCAGCATATTACATAGTTAAAAAGGCCGAAGTTTCTAACACAAAAAGAATTCTTAAAAATACGAGGGCTTGGTATGTAGCTCAGTGGTAGAGTGCTTGCCCGGTATGCACAAGGCCCTAGGCTCCATCCTCAGTACTGGTAAAAAATTACAGTAAGAAGTAAAAAAAGGTATGAGTAGAAGTTTCACAAGAAAGATACAGAAACAGCTCCCAAATATTAACTGACTTCTTCGATCCCTGGTACCCCGCACCTCTCAAAAATTAACTGACCTCAGAAGGAAATGCCAATGAAACTATACTGAGGAGTAATTCCAGTTAATGGATTGGCAACATGAAGACACCTGACTACATGCTGTCACTGGCCATGCTCAGACCCTAGGGGTAGAGCGTGGGGCAGGGCTGGAGTGTCTACCAGAACTGCCTACAGGTTTCCCTGATGATCCAGCACTCCTGCTTCTGACGCTCTCCTTTCAAGACGCATGGGACTATTTACTGCAGCTCAGTAATTACAGTGCAATGGGAACAACTTAATTGCTGGTGTGAAGGAAAACAGCTGAGTAAGTCGGAGGACAATAAAAATAGAGTACAATTCAGCTGGACAAAGGAAAAGCGCTCTGAATCACTCTGGAGCACATGGAGAATGAATGAGGGGAAAAAACAGGTAAAAGGAGTATCTGTGGTATGTTACCTTTTGTGTAAAAGTAAAAGCCAGTAAGTTCCCAGTTTTCTGCAGAGGTGAGGGCAGGCCACTCTGAAACTGCTTTACATGTGCTCGCGGACTGAACATGTCAGTAAATGCGCTGGGCTCTCATCGGGCAAATGTGGCGGCAAGGCAAGAATGCACTGTGAAATCTGAGCCATTTGTAGGAACATGGACGCCCCCGGGGACCAAAATGGCGGGTGAAGTGAATCAGTGACCCAAACCAATCACAAAACAGTTTACCCCAGCAATACTCAGACAGGGGTCATTCAATTCTTGTTTGTATGACAAATAAAAAAGCCCAATGGTGATCTATGATTATAATAATTCTATGGATGGTATTGACAGAGTTGATCAACATCTAATTAGCTATTCTATAATCAAAAAGCAAGGAAAGGGGCTGGGGATTTAGCTCAGTGGCACAGCACCTGCCTGGTAAGTGTGAGGTCGTGAGTTCAATTCCTGGTACCGGAAAAAAAACAAAACCAAAAAAAAAAAAAAAAGAAAGATTATCAAGTATTTATGGACCTTCTGGACAAAACAATATGGAACTTATTTGTTGTTTATTCAGAACAAGGGGACTGAAAAAGTCATTTACAACTTAGATTAGATCTAAGAGACTTAATAATTGAAAAATACAGGATAGCAAAATGCCAACCAGAACATCTATCATTGACGTCTTCAGCATTAGTGGGTAGACATTTTACAGAAATTGTATGACCCACAGAGAACAGGGGAGGCTGACACAACAGTGTGAAGTGTGTCGTTCAAAGAAAAGACAGCAATGCAGAAAGAATTTGGAGCAAGACCAGACAGACTGCCCGCACTGTGATGCTGCTTTGTGTACTGAATGGGTTTTCTGTCTTTTAAAAAACTTTTTAAATTTTCTTTATTTTTTAAAGGGAATAAAAAATAATAAAAAACATGAGAAATACAGAATTTCAGTAGACAAGATGATAGGAATTCAGCAGTGATAGTTATACTGCATACTGTTGTCTTCAAATTAGTTGCTCCAGATATAAGCATGCAAAATTGGTCAAAAATAAATAAATAAAATTAAATTAAAAAGGAAAAAAAATTAAGCATTAACTATTCCTTTTAATAAACCAGTAGAAATCAGCAGTACAATTATCCCAGCTGTTCTTGTATATACATATATATTTTTAAAAATATGGAATGCTTCATGAATTTGCATGTCATCCTTGTGCAGCGGCCGTGCTAACCTTCTCTATTGTTCTAATTTTAGTTTATGTGCTGCTGAAGCGAGCACATGTGTACTGAATGTTTTAAGATACACCACACAGAGAAAATTTTGATAAAGTTGATAAAAATTGTCATTTTTATGTCCTATTATCTTCTAATAGATTTTTATGTCCTATTATCTTATAAAAACTAACCAAAATATTAAATTGTTGGTCATCCCATATTTACAGAATTGGCCTGGTAAGTAGTTAAATACTGCATGGTTTCTCTTATAGGAGAAGTCCAACATATAAAATAAAAGCTTGATAACAGGAAATGGCCAGGCAGATCTTTTAGCATATGGGGGGGGGGAAGCAAGAGCTAGAGGGAGAAAGAAATGAGATGAAAAAAAATGGGGAAGGGGAAGATGTGTTGAGTACATGTACCCAGTCCCTTCGAGAAACGTGATCATTATGTACTACAAGCATGTACAAAAAATTATATATACAAGAGGGGTCCAAGAGTAGAGGGAGGGGGATGAAAAGCCAGGTAAGAGAGTTTATACATATGTACCAACTCACCATGATGAATGTGATCATATACTACAAGCATGTACCAATTTTTAAAAAATGTACACGGTGATCAGTAATTCTAACAGGCCTAGCAGATTAGAAGGGGAAACCCTTGAGTTTGTGTTGAGTGAGTTATGCAGGAAGCACCTCTGAGTCTCTATCTGGTCCCTCACACAATCCTCGCTGGCACTGTTCTGCTTCTCTGCTCCCCAGCTCCCATGAACTATAAGCAGCACTGCTCCACCATGCCCTACCACCACAATGTTCCTGCCTTCGAGTCAGTTATGGACTAAATCCCCTTAACCTATGAACTACATTAAACCTCTCCTCCTTTAAGTTGTTAGGTATTATGCCTACTCAACAGGAAAGCTGACCAACACAGAAAAGTGGCAGCGAAAGAAGTGGGGTTGTTGCTATGACTGTACCTGATCATGTAGTTTAAAGGCTTTGGAACTGGTTTGCAGGAAGTATTTGGGAAGGTTTGAGCATGCTGGCTAGAGAAGCCTTAGAATGCTGTACACAGATCTTGATGTGTGATTCTGGTTCAAACTCAGAAGACCAGAATGCTGATAGGAATGCCATAGTACAGGTCAGGCTCAGGAGGTTCAAGTCAAAATCAAGGACTCCACTGACAGTTGGGCTAGAAGCCAGGTGTATCATCCTTTGGCAGAAAAATTTGTTTACACTTTGCCCATGTTCTAAGATTTTGTGAGAGGCTGAGATTAAGAGTGGTAGACTAATTAATCTGGTGGAGGAAATTTCAACATAGCCCAATATTCAGGCTGTATGGATACTGCTGGCTGCTTTCAGTCAGTTTACAGTAAAAACTGTAGGCAAAAGTCAGAGGAGAAATATTTGAAAAAACTGGTCCTAACAGAACTGTGCTTAAGTTGGGGACAAAGGAGGTGTGGCTGGCAAAGAGATTAGCACCACTGAAAACCAAGTACTTTGCACACGGCCAATTAGCAAGACTGTCCACTTCCGACTCTAGGGTGCAGAAGTGTCAACTTTTCATTTGAGAAAAGAGACTCTGAGACCCCTGCTTGAGAAGGGCCTCCTGGAGAACTGGCTCCCTGGGATTCACTTCACAATAGCAATTGCTATTATCTTTATTTGAAGATTAAGTGTGGCTTAAGGAGATGTGCTTAGGTGTAAAGTTGACAAGGTATGGATTGTGACAATTACTCCTGACAGTCAACTTTATTGGATTAAAAAATGCTTAGTAGATTAGTAAAGCACACCCCCGGGTGTGTCTGGGTGGGTCATGTGGTATGACCTCGGGGACTTTTACTTGGTCCCTGGCTCCTTCTCTGGCGCCGTTTCTGCTGCTCTGCACCCTGTCTCCACAAACTAATCAGCTTTGCTCTGCCATGCCCTTCTGCCATGATACTCCTGTCCTGCGGCCAGCCAACCACAGAATGAATCCCACAGTCACAAGCTACGTTAAACCTTCCTCCTTCAAGCCGTTTCTCTGGGTGTTGTGTTCAGCAACAGGAAGGCCGATGAATACACACAACACCGTGGCAGCAGATGGACTGGATGATCTGCATATACCGTTTATAATGTAGATATTAAGATTCACTAATTAGCAAAGGGGAAACATCAACTTGATTGTGGAGAGACCGGGCAGACACCATCTCAACTCAGCATCACAGTTAATCCCCAGTGATGGGAGGGACAGTACAGCTGGCAACCCTGTGGCCACCAGTTTCCTATTAGTGGATTCAACCAATCATGGATATAAAAATATTCAGAAAAAAAATTGTGTTATTTTTTATATTTCTGACAAGTACAAAATTATTTCAAAATAACACAACACAAAACCACCACAGCCATGTGCCTCTTGCTGCTCCTGCAAAATGTCATGATGAGCACACACCTAGGGACAGGTAAGTGGCATCCCAGTGCAGGAGGGGATGTGATGGATGCCCTGTACCACAACTCACACAGAACACTCACAGCCAGAAGCTTGAGACACCTTCCTGTGCTCTATATTTACCAATTGAACTGCTGGCTCTGTCTCCTTTCTTCTTCTTGCTTTTCTTGTTCTTGCCCTTCGGCTGGGGAGAGTCAGCCAGTATCAGCCGGCCATTCTGCGGATGCTGGTTGGGAGAGAGAGGCTCAGGAGGGACTGGGGTTGACTTTTCCTCCTTGATGTGGTTCAGCTGCTTTTTGTTATTGTTGTTACTATTGGCTTTTCTCTCCTCTTTTTTCTGCTCTGTGAGGGAAGTGAGCTCAACCACCTTAGTTTTTGGCTCCATCTGGGCCCGTGGCTTAGGCAGCCCCTCGGGGGCTCTGGGGGGCTCTACAAGCTTCCTCGCCGCAGGTTCACCATTGGTCTTAGTGGTCTGCTTTAGCTTCTGTTTGCCATTTCCCTCTTTATGGTGATGCATCATGTCGAAGAGAAAAGCAAGAGGCTCGTGCTGCTTCCCGTTGACCTCCTTAGAGAGGAGAAGCTTGGGGTCCCTGGTGTCCACAACAGGATCTACAGTGTCCCTGTCGGTTTCCAGCCCTGGCCTGGGCTCTGAGTGGTTCGTGTGTCTGGAAGGGGAGTGAGATGAGGTTTCTGGTTCTTCAGTCTGCTCTACTGAGCCATTGTGGATATTTTCAGAGTCAGTGACAGACTCTGTCACTGCCTGAAAATTCCTAGCCAGCATGTCCAACTTAGGACAGTCTTTACTTGGCCTCTCTTTCTTCTTCTTTTTCACAGCTCTTAACTTTTGCAGCTCCTGAAGCCGCCGGAACTCCTCCTTGAAACGCTGCTCCTCATCTTCCTCCTCCTCATCCTCGTCCTCTTCCCGCCGCTGCTGCTCCTCCTGGAGGTGCAGGTGCTCCCGTGCCCTGGCCTCGGCTTCTAGACGTGCCTTCTCCTCCAGCTGCCAATGTGGAAAGAGAAGGTGGCTTAAGACCACAGTAAAAATTCCAGGGATTGAAACATACAGAAAACTAAGGTAATTTAAAAAGTGAATCGTATGACTGGATATCAACTATGAAGGGGCAATAATAAATCAAAAGAACACACCTACCTGTCCTTATGTCACCCTATGGAATTCATCTAGATTTTATTTATCTACCAAGAAATGTGCTTACTTTACTGGGAGACTGGCTAACATAAAATGCCATAAAATGCATGGCACCTGGAAGAAGGTCAAAGCAGCTGCTGCCCTACATCCAGAAGACTGGCTTCTCCCCATACACATGTCAGGGAATTGTTCTTGCCTGGCCTGGTGGGTGACCTACCTGAGGCCACACATGAAGCCCATGACAGAGAGCTGCTGTTGCTGCACTTACCTGCATCGACAGGCCATGTGCAGAATGTGGCCAAAACACTAGGCACTCCTTCCCGCCCTTGCAGACAAACAAAAGCCCCATATATTTTCGCTAGTGTAACAGAGCAAATGGCTTTCAGAAATAATGCCATTACATGGCATGCAAGACATCGCTTCCTCTTTGAGGTCTACCTCGAGAAGGAATTAACGTCATCTCAAGTGAAGACTGCAGTTTACTGGTGATGTATAGCCCAGTGGTGCAAACGGAGAGCATTTCTTCTATTCAGAAACAAAGCCATTAAGCATGAGGAGCAATCTGGCATGGTGGGGCACATCTGTAATCCCAGCACTAGAGAGGCTGAGGCAGGAGGATTGAAGTTTTGAAGTCAGCTTGGGCTACACAGTGAGTTTGAGAGCAGTCTGAGCTACACAGTCAGAGGAAGACCCTACTTACACACACACACACACACACACACATACACACACAGCAAAAAACATGGCTTCTTTCATCACTGAACTCCAGAAAAGCTAGTGTGTGGGAGAAACTTTTGCAAAAACACTGCCTGGAAAAAAAGGGTCCTGTCCAAGATTAAATTCTCATTATGTGTGTTATTATGCAGCTCACAACATGTTTATACATAGATAGAGATAAAGAGATAGTTAGAGATAGAGACAGAGACAGAGACAGAGACAGACAGAAAGACAGCATTTTGCTAAGTTGCCCAGGCTGGCTTCAAACATGGGATCTTCCTACCTCCACATCCTGAGTAGCTTGCATTAAGACATGCGCCACCACGCCCAACTATCTTCTAAAATATTTTTAAGAAACAACTCTACTTGTTTTTTAAAAAACGTAAATAAAAAATGGTAGTTAAAACATAATAAACAACTTGTTTTGCTTTTGGCGGTGATTCCAGGGCCTGAGGAGTGACGACAGGGCCTTGTGCGTGTCAGGCAACCACACTGTCACTAAGCCACATCCCAGCCCTACAATGCTAGGTCTTTAAAATTACTTGACAATTCATGTAAAATTATTGAGAACCCTTCCTCTGTGTGACAGAGGGAAAGCTTCTCCTGAGGGTTCATGGTCTGTCCATCCCCCTACCATGGCATGTAGAGCTGTGCCCTAGGGTCAGCTGTCTGTGTGTCCATGCAGGCTGGTCAGTGTCCTCTCTGCGATCATCTGTGGGCCCCCTTGCATGCTGTATGAGTACCTCACCACTGCTGGGCCAGCAGCAGGCTAGCTCCCAGCTAGCCCATGAGAGAGGCTATGCCAGGCTGGAGTCCACAGGCAGACTACGCCTGTGGGTTAGCCACCACAGCCCCTGATGTGAGGGCCACCCTGTGAAACGGGCTAGGCAGAGAGCAGCAACAGGAAGTCACTCAAAGGAGAGTGAGTGTTAAGTCCAGCCTAGGGCACCTAGGGCTTCCCAACAAGGCTGCTCGAGAGACTCTTCACCCCTGATGTCAGTGTCACACGCTGGCCATCATCATCTGGAATGCCCAATGCATCAAAAACAAAAGGAGCACGGATAGCGGCTGCTCAGCCTGTGTCCAAGAGGCTCTGCTGGGGCCTGGTCTCATCCCGTATCAAAGGCACATCTGCACCCCCCTGGTGGGGGGAAGGTCCCATTTTATCCCAAGGTCTGCCCCACCACACCCTACCCCCACTGTCACCTCCTTGGGAAAAGAAGTTAGTCACAGACAGAGCTACAGAGACTGCCACCCCACAACGGTCAGCACAGGACCTGACGTTGTCCTGGAAACTCAAAGTGAGGTTTTAACCAGCTTCCAGTTCAGGTTACCAGTCAGTCAAGGCACCAAGTTAGTGTGCACGGGCTGGGGATATAGCTCAGCAGCATAAGCACCTGCCTGGTAAGTGCAAGGTCCTGAGTTCGATTTGCAGTACCAAAGAAAAAAAAGTAAAGCAAGTTACCGCAGGCCAGCTGACCTCCCGTGAGCACCATGCCACTAAGCCCACACAGCACTCCACAGAGCCAGCACCCACGGAGCCAGCATTTGCTTACCTTCCTCTGCTTGTGCCTGGCTCGCTTGGCTGCCCGCGTGCTGCTTACAGGCTTCGTCTCTGAGCTGTTTATAAACTGTAACAAATCCTCTACCCTGCGATGGTCAACGACACTTTCCCGCTCTGAGATCTGATCCATTTTTTTAGGTTGCTCTTCCTTCCTCTTGGTCAGCCGTAAACGAAGTTTCTCCCTCATTTCTGCATAATTTCTACTTGTTGGTGCAGCTGGGGGCTAAAACAAGTAAGGACACAACTAAGCTATACATGTGAATGTAACAAATTACCGAACATCTCTAAAATTGCCTATCATTAAAAAATTACTTAAGTTATACATGAGCATTATGAAAAGTAACAAGATAAATAAATGGCACAAAACAGAAAAACACATCCTTATGCTACCTGAGAGCTGCATTTTGGCACCTACCTTGCTGAGGTTTTATTTAAGAAAATCTGGTAAGATAAATATAAATGAATTTTTAAGCTGAAAGGATGTAGTTACACACAGCCTTCCACCTCTGTGTGATTAGTATGTTCACCCTTTCATGTCAAGAAGCTTGTCTGCTCTTTCCCTCCATTTACAAGTTTCCTCTTCAGTGCTTCATGGCTCTCAGTCCTTCCTGCCCTGCTTCTGCTTTTTGAGGCAGGGTCTCATGATGCAGTCCAGGCTGGCCTTGAACTCACAAGGGTCCTCCTGCCTCAACCCCGAGTGCTAGGACCACAGGAGTATACCACCACGTTTGGCTTGCTATCACACTGCTCATTGCTAAAACCATGTGCACACTGTAGGAAATAAAAACCAGCATTCTCTGCATTTCCTGCTAACCCTCTATTATACCTTGCATCTAGGTGGCCCCCTGAAACCTCATGTGGTCATACGTGGGGCTTCCTGGAGGTGGCTGGATCATGGGTGTGTGATGCTGGGGTTGAGGGTACCCTCCCCTGGCGTATGGGCGACAGAAGAAGGGCTCCCCACTCTGTGATGCCCCCTGCCCTGCCGCCCTGTCTGGCAGCCAGCTATGGACTGGAACCGATAGAAACTGTGAGCTGAAATGAACCTCTCCTCCTGTGATTTTAGATGCTGGGTATTCTGTCATTCTGTCTCAGCAACAACAAAAGTAACCAAGACACCAAACCCTCAGGTGGTATCTGCTTACCGAAATATAATTACTACTATGGAAAGATGGAAAGTGGTAGATGTTATCAACATCTTTTGTATTCAGCCAACAAGAGGACTCAAGATGTCCAGACGGCACTGCTCTAAGTAGCCACACAGTAATATTTTATTTTATTTTTATTTACTTATTTTTTTGGTTTTGGTTTTTTTCCGGTACCGGGAATCGAATTCACGACCTTGTGCTTGCCAGGCAGGTGCTGTGCCGCTGAGCTAAATCCCCAGCCCCTAGCCACATAGTATTACATGGGATGCATTTAGTAAGCTCCCCTACTTCATCAACTATTTAAAAAAATCACAAACAAATACGAAAATGCAGTGATAAAATCTTCTCTAAGTAAGTGTAAGCTGAATGTGGAATCGCTGCTTCTGACCGTGTCCTGACTCTGCTCCGGGACAGGAGCCCCCCACACAGCGTGTGCACTGCCGGATGGCTTACCCCGCCATGCCCGAAGAACTCGCAGTAGCAGCAGTCGCAGTACTTGCCCTCCTTCTGGTTGGTGGAGGTCGAGGTGCTGGAGCTGTGCTCAGAGCAGCTGTCCTCGTCAGCACTCTCATCCCCGTCGTCCTGCTGCGGGTCGTACACGCCATTCTCGCAGCGGTGCCCTTCACAGTCAGGGTCACTACAAAGCCACACACAGCTGTCAGTGCCTGCCCAGGGGGCTCAGGTTCCACAGCACTCCTGACCACTTCACAGATGGGCCACGTGGGGCACCAGGTCCACAAGGTCAGCAACGATGGCTGACGATACACACAGCAGTTGCACTAACACTCAAGAGGTGTCCCTGAGCAGGTACACAGGCTCCCATGTCTTCTCTGATTGCACTGCCTGTCCCTGCTACCCCTACTTCTGTACTGAGGAGGAGGCAGGACAGCTTCACATGGGCAAGTTCAAAGGTAGTAAGAATCCCAGCACTCAGGAGGCTGAGGCAGGAAAAACCCAAGTTTAAGGCCAGTAGAGGCTATATAGTAAGCTCAAGGACAGCCTGACCTTAGAAAAACCTGTTGAGTGGTTTTTGCTTCACTCTACAGTTTATTCATTTTCTTCTGATACTACCCAATGTAGAACAAATATAACTTAAAAATAACGTGCACCCTGATGCTGCCAACGGTCAGGTGTAGTCTTGACCCGCAGGGCTGTAGCTGCTAGGCCTCTGCTCGTTCATTCCTAGGGAGGACTGGCAGCAACCCCAGTGGGCATAGTGCGCCTGTCCTCCCCTTGGGGCCCCAGGCACCTCACCTGCAGACGCTGGGTGGGGCACTGATGGAGCCATCTGTGTTGGAAGGTGGTGGTGCCACGGGGGTGGGACAGAAGCTCTTGCGTGTGTCCACAAAACCGGGAGCTGTGGTTGGGGTTTTGGGGAATGTTGGGGTTGCAAGGTTTGCAAGGTGAGGTGTGGAGGCAGGGGACAGCGCAGCAGGGGAGAGGGTGGGAAGTGGAGCCAGGCCCGTGGGGCTGTTCCTGGGAGCAGCGGGTGCAGAGTGCCTGTGGTCCTCCTTGTTGATGCCGTGAAAGACGTCACCTGGGTAGAGACACAAATCGCACTGCCATGTATGAGGGAAACACAGATTTTCCTGTTTCATTATATTTCCCCCAACTTTTTGTTCTGAAAATGATGTTCAAACCTTGAGAAAGCTGAAGGACTAACACTCATCCTTTGCTGATTTGTCTCAATCAATATGTGACCGTGTGCGTGCAGACACACACACACACACACACACCCCCCCCCCCTTTGGCCTGACATCTGGAGAAGCTGTGCTTGGCCTTAGCCAAGCTCTGCTGCTGAGCACCAGGGCAGCCTGCTGGGCCAGGCTCTAAGCCAACAGGCAGCCCATTTCCCATGACCTTCACAGCTCCCACCAACCCAGCCTCTTCTTTTCTCCTTTCATAAGATGGACAATTTTCAAGAGGTCCACTGTGCACCACTCTGTATTTATCTTGTTTCACAGACTCAGGTGAGCTGTTCTAGGTTCGAATCCAGCAAAGATGAGTCTGATCCTTCCTCACCATGTGATGGCAAAAGGAAGCACCCCACGTCCTCTGTGTGGTGCTGCTGAGCAGGGGCTGCCAGTTTCCCTCCACCCTGTGTGGCCTTTGGACAGTGGAAATGCCGTGCTTACCAGCCTCAATGCTTGTATTTTTTTTTTTTTTGGTTTTTCTCCGGTACCAGGAACCGAACTCACGACCTTGCGCTTGCCAGGCAGGCGCTTTGCCGCTGAGCTAAATCCCCAGCCCCCAATGCTTGTATTTTTTTTTTTTTTGGTTTTTCTCCGGTACCAGGAACCGAACTCACGACCTTGCGCTTGCCAGGCAGGCGCTTTGCCGCTGAGCTAAATCCCCAGCCCCCAATGCTTGTATTTTTTTTTTCCTCTTCTTTCTTTTTCTGGTGTTGGAGATGGACCCCAAGAACCCTTAAATGCTAGGCATGCACTCACGTCCAGTGTTTTAAGCACCACAATTCTGCTGACCTGAAGTAGCTACTGCACTGCTGGCTGCAAGGTGGTGACTTTTTACTTCTGTCCTCGGCACATACCTAGTAGTGGTGTCATCTGTGAAAAAGAGCTTCCTCTCCCCCAGAGATGACTGGAACATCCCCACTGGTTCCTGACTTTCTCTGAGCACCACAATCCATCACATTAACGTTGCCCCTGCAACAAGCTGGTCTATGACTACTCCTTCTGATGCTCACACTGCCCCAGCTTTGGCTGGTGAGAGCCCCTCCAGCCGGGTTCCCTGTCCCTTGGCATCACTCTGGGTCTCCCTCACCGTTAGGAAACTGACTAACGTGACAAACTGGTTGACAGGCAGCTTTTGGCTCAGTGTTTTCCTAAAGCAGCTTCTGAGGAACCCGCCTGTGCTTGGAAAGCAATGACCTCGTCGTGTCACTGAAGAGGGACTGCAGAAACGGGAGGCAAGAGTCAGCGCTGTGGAGCCCAGGGCACCTGGGGCGACAGCTGAGCTCCGACAGAGGCCAAAGCCACGCTCTTTGCGGGGAGCACCTGCAGGCACTGAGTACCTGTGTGGCTCCAGCCAGCAGGGGCAACGGCCATGACACAGAGAGGATGGAAAGCAAGCGGGCCCAGTGGCTCCTGGGCCTGGGCTAGGGGGCCTTACCTATTGAAGGAGGTCTCTTGGATGACACTTTGAACTGGCTGTTGCTTGACTGCACTGTGGTGGCTGTGCAGGACACGGAGGATGTGGCGGAGGAGGTGGCCATGACAACTTTGTTTGCTTCCATGAAAGCGTCTTGGAAATTGTACAAACATTTCTTTTTCGCAGCATTTTTTTTCTCTTTATTATCCACTGCTGTGGACGCATCACTGCTTGGCTGAGGTGGAAGAGCTTCAGGTCTTGTTTCCGAGATTGCTGGCCCTAATATATCACTCCCTTCGGGGAAGAACGGGAAAATTAGGACTTCTAAAATGAACAGTACCTAAGTGAAACCCTGCAGAGAATGCTACGGACTGAACATGGGGCTGCTACTGAGTCAGGACTGCCCTGGGAGGATGCTAGAGAACCAGTCTTTCTTCTGGGGGGTTGGATTTATTGAGCATCTACTATGTGCCAATCCCTGTGCTAGGTGCTTTACAAAGTTAATATCTCAAAATGACTTTCTGAGTTTGGTACTGTTATTCCTATCCTAAAGATGAAGAAACTGAGGCTCAGAGAGGCCAAGCAACTTGCCCAAGATCACACAGCTAGAAATCCTTTCCAAGCACAGATCAGGATGTCAAGTCTAGCTTCTGTTCTGAGCGCATACGGGGGGGCAGGGGCCACCAGCAGCTGGAGCCACATGAAGACAGAGAGGAGGTACAAGTACCAGCCCCTCCTCAGGTGCTCTTGGCCCTGTGGTAGAAGTTACAGCTGAGCCTGTGTGGCTGAGGTGGGCAGGGAGGAAGCAGCTCATTAGAGGGGAGAGGTCCCTCTGGGCCGATACAGAAGCCAGGGAAAGGAGCAGAATCACTGTACCCGAGTGAACTGTGGCACTGCCCCCTTGCTCCGTGTTCTGGCGGTGGTCTGGCTGTCACCAGAGCCTGAGAACTAAGGGCCGGGCACGAGCCCTGGAGAGCCGGTGCACAGCAGGCTGGGCTGCGCCAGTGCCATTCACTGTGCTGCTAAGCAGCTGGAGGGGGGCAGAGCGGGGCCAGAGTTCTGTGTGTCGGCGTGGGGCCCGGTGTGGCAGTGTGGCGTGGGGAACAGGCCCTAAGGGGCTCCCGCTGCAGACGGAGGGCTGGGGGCAGCAGCTGCCCTGCTGCATTGGGGATCCCACAGGGGACTAAACCAAAGATGGCAATCTACGTGGCTCAGGTAATTTTAAAATCTTAAGAAAGTTTTAACAAATTCCTTACCAGAAATTGTATCTGGCAAGAAAGTGCCAGGATTCCAGTTCTTATCATTCATCACTTCTGATCCCCAAAGACTTATAAATTTAGAACTATTCCACTCTGGAGTATTCCCAAAACAGCTCGGATAAATATGGTCTTGAAGAGATGCATTGAATACCTGATGCTTATTTGTGTGATTCTGAACAGGTGCTGGCGGTAAAGCCTACAAAAAAAAATTTTCTAATCACATATCAAAATTAATATTCCGCTTACCTAAGTAGTTCATCTATAAACAGAGCAAGTGTGACTGCAGCCTTGCGGGCCATGCCCCCATGGGCTGGTGCCCACTGGGAAAGAACATCTCACAAAGCACTGTGCGCCTTACTTATAAGACCAGACATGTAGGTCAATCTGCAACCAGCGGTGTACTTCAAAAGCAACGGATGCCTTTGGACACCTCAGCAGGCTCTACGCCTCCTGTCTAGCAACATTTCAAATGTGGTGCGTGTGCCTATGGCTGCTTCTCATCTGACATTTTAACAAACACTGCTAGCAAGTCCACCTGGAATCTCTGATGAAAACGATGCTCCTTTCCACTGACCTCACACCTGGGCACCCTGCAGCACAGCGTGAACTAGTGGAATTCCATAGGTGATTACAAGCCGAGGCCCCAGCAAGTGGGTCTGGGCCCCAGGGGCAGGCCTACGTGGAGGGCACCAAGGCAGGATGGTGAGGGCCAGTCGGTAGGTGGCCAGCAGCATGCACACTTTACCGGGTGCTGTGCACACCTGGTGTTCCTGAGTCTTTCCTGTCCTATCCTGCACCCAGGCCCAGCCCTGACATCTGTCACCCTCACAGCCACACTACTTTGCAGCCTGCATGTGGGCTCCCACCCATCCCTTTTCTCACGGCAACCGAGTGACCTCTACTGAGTGCCACTACCCTGCTTAGAGCATCCAGATGGGTTTCTGCTGCTTCTAACATAAAACCCAGCGCCCTTACCATGGCTGCACGAGACCCTGAGACACTGGGCTGGCCTCCCTCTGTCTTGCACACACAGGCCTTCCCTCCCCTGGTCTGCAAACCCTCAAGTGCCTCTCCATCTTCATCTGTTTATGCTGTGCCCATGTTCACCCTACTCACTCATATCCCCAGGCCTCAGCCCAGATGTCACTGTCCCAGAGTAGCTGCCACCACCACCTCTGCTCCCACAGCTTAACACTCGCACCCAGGACCAAGGCAAGCCTCACTAAGCCCATGGGGACCCCTGATCTTCCCTCCTCTCCGACCACACTTCAATGCATGGCATTTCAGCCTACTGGTTAATGGCTAGCTCCCCCGAATCACAGACGTTCTGCAACAGGATGGGACATCTAGCTCCTGGCCTTGCTGACCATTCCGGTCCATGCTGGGTATCACCCCCTGGCAGGATTTAGGCAAATTCCCAGGAGGGTTCCTATGACACTGTTAGTGTTGGGAAGGAGAGCCTGTGGCCCAAAATGAGGACTGAGCAGGGGCCCTGGGGAGCGGGTGCTGGGGCAGCTCAGGAGAGCCCCAGGGGGCTGCATGGGGCAGAGGGGGAAGGGGAGGGGCAGAGGCTAGGGGCGGTCCACGTACATGGGTGACAGGGCCACGCCTGGCAGGCTTCAGGACGGTGGGGCAGTGGTCACATCAGAGGTAACCGTGTGACTCTGTAATGGGCATGGGACGCACAGGAGGTCTTAGGCAACAGGGGAGGGGATTTGGCAGACCTTTGCTAGAAATATCCATCTGTGACCACATGGTCGGTGAAGCGAAAGGGGAGGAAGACTCTGGAGGAGTTAGCTATGGGGTGAGAAATGAGAGGTGATGGTGAAGAGGGGGAAGGTGATGAGGAAAGGAGGGATTCTGGAGTTGCCAGACAGAGCGGGGACTGAACATCCAGCTCAGGGACTACAGAGGCACGGTCAGTGACAGAGCTAATTTGAACCTGAGTCCCACCTCTTGGCCTCCCTTTGACTAGCTGTGTGACCTTAGGCAAATCACTCACTCTTTTTCTCATCCGTAACCTAGAAATACCTAGCTCTAGGGCTCTGCTAAGATTCAGCACCTGCCTGGCCTGCAGGAAGTAGGCAGTGAGTACGAAGGTGGTGAACTATCATTTTCTAAGACTATGGCCCCTGGACACAAACCCATCAACTGAGCCAATCCTCCCAGCTGCACCCACTCTCTCACATGCTTCTGGCACAGGAAGTGGGCAGGAACTCCCCTCAGGCCCCTGGCAAAGCTCAGGGACTTGGGGTGGTGCGAGGGCAGGGGCTGGAGCAGGATGCTCAGAACTTAACAGTGGGAACAGACAGGCCCTTAGGATGACAAGGTCTGAACTAGCTGTTCTGGCAGGAGAGCCCCAGAGAGCAAAGAGCAGAGAAAACCATTCCAACAGATACTAGGTTCTACACTGTGGAAAACTACACAATGCTCTGTTGAGAGCATTTGATGTGAAGTAACAGTCTTGGGGGCCTTTTGCCCAGGCTAACCAGCCTGCTTTCCTGCACTCTTGACTCTGGAGAAATGGCCCACCTTGCTGGCCCAGCAGCTAAGATCTGGGTGGCAGAAGCAACTTCAGCACTTCCTGAGTCTCTCCCCACACACAACTGGGCACTGTCGGGGTTCACCTCTGGGAAGGCGGTATGGCCACATGGGCTCCACCACACTTAGATCTACCGAGCTCTTGCTTTCTCTCTAAAACTCTATTCCAGTCTCTTACTCTGCAAAGCCATCCCAAGGCTTCACTGTCTCCCTCTCCAGGACCACTTTTCTGTCTGCACCCTCAGGTTAAATTAGGCACACCACAGGTGTAATTTTCATGACATTTTTGTCTCCTTTTTTAGACTGGAAACTCTTTGAAAACATGGACCAGAATGAACTGATTTTGTTTTTCCTAGAACATAGCACAAGGCCTGGCACATACTGGGTGTTCAATAAATGTATGATTAGAGGAATAAGGACCAACTTTAAAAGAATAAATTAACACTTCAGAAGCCCACTTACTCCAAAAGACCCAGCTGTAGAGACTGCAGGCAGTGGGCAGGGATTAGCATCGAAACAAGTTGTACTGTTTTCACTGGTTTGGTACAAGATGTCTATTGAGATGCCTACCAAGCTCAGCAGCTCCAGGGTTTTTTCTCAGAATAAAACATCACCTGACAACTATATTGTTTCAGGCCATGCCTCCCTGAGCACCAGGGAGTCCACCATACAGTCTAGGAAGGTGGACAAGAGACTGAACTCGAACACTGATTTCACTGTTTACACAGCTCTATCACACAAAGGTTCTGAACTGCTCTCCACTTCAGACAAAGGAAGTAATTCACAGGAAGGATATTTCTGCTGTAAGTGAAATCCCTGACACAAATGCCAACACCAATGAATGCTTCTGGTAAGCACGTTCTGGTCTGAGTGGGTTCTGCAAGACCTCCCCACTGATTCCACCGTGGATACCAGGCTGGACAGCAGGTGCATGGGTGCAGAAGATGACTGGCAAACATGGGGTGGGCGGGGGTAGATAAATTGATCCACATATCCCAGGGCACAAGAGAGTTCAGGTGAGTAGCTCTATTCTGTATTTCTGCCTAACCGAGGCTTTTCAATGTTCCTCTCAGAGATGTAAACAGGCAAAGGACCACCTTGCTAGTTCTCAGGCTGGAAGAGCTGACTACTACCTTTAAAATAAAGTTCAGATCCAGGTGCACATGATCTCCCAAGTCACAATCTATTTATGTCCTAGTTTTCCTCACAGCATGCCACCCTGTCCACCCTGCCCATTCCAGCCTGAGCATATACCAGTGCCATGTTTTAATTATTTCTACCATGCCTTCTATCTAGATGTTCCTCTACAGCCTCATGTGGTCATAGGTGGGGGTTTTTGGAGCTGCCTAGATTAGGGTTTGTGAATGTGGATTAAGAGTGTGAAACTAGGATTAACCCTGGATGTGGGTGTACCAATCAATAGGCTAGTAGCCTGGATGGAACAGAAAGCAGACCGAAGATCTACAGCAGACCGCTGGTGCTGCTTTAGCTGCTTCTGTTGCCTTCTGCCTGCCCTGCTATGAACTGTTTCTCCTCTGCCATGCCCCTCTGCCATGTCACCCTACCTTGGAGCTAGCCAACTATGGCCTGAAACCTCTACAAACTTATGGGTCTTGGGTATTTTGTCCCAGCAATGAAAAGAGACAGACAATTTCCACCACACCTGCAGCAGTTGTGCATATGTCTCAGAGTTAACCAGGACAGATGCATACTTCAGACCGAAGATAAGAAGGGACTGAGACCACATGACCCAGAGCTGAATGGGGACCACCTCCCAGTCTAAGGCTCCACAAATGCACTGAACTCACAAGAGCCAGAACCTAGGGACTATTCTCTATTTTCCCCAGGCTCCCAGTGGATAATCCAAAACATCCTTCCCCTTCACAGTGGACCATATCTTGATTAGTACAGTGATTTCGTTAGATGAAAAGACAAGATTTAAAGTTGGAAACCTTGGGTTCTGATGCAGATTCTAGTTCTGCTGAAGGGTGACCTAGCAGCTCCAGGTCAGGGATAAATCTGCCTGAGGAAGGGCAAGTGGGATGTGCAAAGTGGGTGCATCTCCTGCCCAGCTTACTTCTGCCCTGGGCCAAGGCTCTGTGTGGTACCATAGAGGCTACAGAACTCTGCACCTGCACAAACACCTGGGCAACAAACTGCTAGAACAAGGACAAAGGACATACAGTGGTAAAAGGTAGTGAGACACACAAGGCAGAGGTGAAGGGAAGGGAGGCTGCCCCCAGGGTACATGTGACAGACACATCAGTGACCAAGTTACATGGCGACTGAGACCTGCCCCATGGGAGACTGGCCTCTCTGGATTCTCAAGAGGAGGGTCAGTACATACTGCACCTGCACCAGCAGACAAAAATCCTCTCCTAAGCAGGTATCTCCTAGCCAGGGATTGGGGGGGCAGATCACAAAGTCAACTGCATAGGCGTGACTTCACAATGGAAAAAAACCCACTACCCATATCAAGAAAAAAGCATTCTTGAGTGACGTCACTGGGAACAATAAAAACAGATTTAGGTTCTCAAGGTTTCATTCAAATACAAAATGACTTTAGTCAGGTATGGTGCTGAATGCTTGTAATTCTAGCACTCTGGGAGGCTGAGGCAGGAGGATCACAAATTTGAGACCAGCCTGAACAACTTA